GGCGAGAATGCGAACATCATTCACGACCCCAATGGAGAATCAATGATTTTGGTTTCTGCTGACCCTGATAGATCCCCTGGTGGCCATTTTGGGCCCTCTTAGAGGCACATTGGGCCGTCTTGAAACAATATTCGGCTGCCTTGCGGTCATCGTGGGCCGCTTTCGAAGCATCTTGGACCACTTTGGTGTTCTTTGCCTGCACGGGCCGTCTTGTAAGCTCGGGGCACGCCTCTTTTTTTGAACGAGGGATCGTTGCTTCGGGGGCCCTGAAACGCTTGGTAGCAGCGCCTGGGAATGCGGGAAGTGCGCGATCCTCGAGCGGGCGCGCATGGAATTAGGTTTCAGACATTGGCTTGCCATGCGGGAGGTGCACCATCCTCGAGCGGGCACCCGTGGAATAAGAGTTCAGGCATTAGCTGCCACGCGGGAAGTGCACCATCCTCGCATGCGAGCGGGCACGAGGGAAGTGGCCTCGGAAAGGAGTGGCGGTGCACGCAAGAGTCTGCTGGTGTAGAAAGGGGGGTCCTTTATCACAGTTCAAGAAAAAGAACCTCCCAGACAGACCTTGGCATTATTCCACGCCTCAACCTGCCAGGGGGCAGGATGGCAGATCTATAAGGAAAAGGGATGGAGAGGAGATGGGGGAGAGAAGAGCGATAGGGAGAGGAGAAAGCGGAGGAGGAGGAGGAGGAGGAGGAGGAGGAGAGTTTGTTGGATTTCAACACTGTTGAAGCCGATGGCCTGTCAGCAAGGTCTGGTGCTGCCGCTAGCAGAATATTGCAAGAACTACATAGTTTTCCTAGGGTGCTGAGTAAGAATGTGCAGTAAACAGTGCAGGCCAGGCAAAGGAACACAGCGGCACAATAAGAAAGCGGCGGGCGCGGTCCTGTCGTGACGATGGGGAGGTTTCCCGGACCGCAGCGAATCATTGGAGCCGCGCTCGAGAAACAGAAGTACATGTTGTGGCGGAATCATCTTCGGCCCCTGCGACGGCACTCGGACGAGACGGCGGCGAAGAAACCCAGTCTTCGCGCTGAGGCAGGAGGCGAGGGAGGTGCCTGCAACAGTTCTCCTTGTGCCAACAGACCAACATGGCGGAAAGAAGACGGTGCAGCCGCAAGCTCGCGGGCGGAGGCACGGCGAGCATCGTGCTCTCCAGAGCCTGGCGGGTGGGTGCAGGAAGGGGCCCCAAGGGGACCTCCAACGTGTGGTGCGCTGTCGGGTGCACCGTTCACTCCCGCTGTGCTCCCGTGGGCCCCGGGCTATCCTACTCTGCTCGTTGTCCGGACCCGGAAGGGGGGTAGGGCGTTGGAACGTTGGAGCCTGTGGCCGCCGGTCGCCAAGAACGGAGGCGGCGTGGCCGGTAGAGACAGGGCAGGGCGGCCGGAGCGAGGAGGTGGCAAGAGATAGCAAGAGAGCGCTCCTGACCCAACCCGTCCGTACCTGACTGATGAATCCCCGTCCTGGGTTTGATAGTCGCAGTGACCTGCGCTGAACTGGGAACGCTGGGGGGGTCGACCCACGACAGGTGAGCACGCGCACGTCTGGGCAAGACTGGCAAAATGCCGAAACGGCCTGCTGCGTAACACTTATGACTCGCGTCACGACTCATCAAACTCACGTTCGACATCGATTTGTCACGTATCCTGCTCTGACGAATGTGACGTCGCCACAATCGCATGAAGCTTGGCAGTGCGTCGAACCTGCTGGCACCGACATGCACGTGCCTAATGCGCACGATCAAGCAGGCCTGCACCAGAATCAGGGTCGGCGATCCTGGGAACGACGGCACGAATGTGTTGTGTTCTTTCCAGATCTAGTCGTTCACGTTTGCGTGCGCGTGCGAGGATTCCTTTTTTCTTGAGGCGTGCACGGCCCGCATCCATGAGTGGAACTGGCAATCGGGGATGGAGGAGCAGGGAGTGGGGCAGTGGGGGGGCTCTTCCAGAAATGCAGGAGCGTCTGCGTTCAGCCAAGACGTTGAGAAGAGGGCAGCTTTGGGTTCGGAAGGGACTTGCGGTTCCTTGGATCATTCCGTGGTTGTTCCTCTAGCCCTCCTCGCGCACGCAGGGTCTCCTTGTGCCAGCAAGGGGCTTCGTTCCTTATATAGCGCTCCTTGCTCCGGCAGCCCGACTGCACGCTTGCTCTTCATCAGCCTTTGGTGGGTTGCTGGGCCGCGGAGTGGCCGTGGGATCCAGGACAATGCTGGGAGCAGGCTGCTCACCTTGGGTGTGGGTTGGGGGGGTTCAAGACGCCCAACCTCTGGATCATCTCTCTGCCTACGACGAGCACTGGCTCAATGCACAAAATCTGGGGCCCCGCCCCATTCTGCTACGATCGGGACAAGGTGAAGGTCGAGGTCAACTCGGGGAGGATACCCTAATGTTCTTCGTGCTCGCTAGTTTTCTTGTGCATCCTGGCAGAGGTGATGCTTTCGGATGGTTTTCAGCCTGGCCCGCAGAGGGTCTCGTGTTCTTGACGGATGCTCTTCTGTCCTAGGTCCGACCGTACGCCCAGATAGGGGCCCATTTCACATAAAACGCAGCAAGAGGCATTTGAAACTCCCCCTCCCCTTCATGCATGTCTTACAGCAGCTCAGCCCTCGCACAGTTCGTATACAGGTGTGATACTGCGTTCACGATGTCGTCCGTAAGCACACCACAGAAGGCCATGGCGGGTCGTTGTTGTTTGCCGTGCGCCAGCCATTATGTGTACGTCAGACACCATGAGGACCTCGTGAGCGCCCCATCCGTATGGACACCCGCCACTTCCGGTTATCTCCATCAGCCTGACGTGCAGCGTCCCCGTGCACAGTGCCAGTTTTCGTGTCGTTGCCCGTGCAAGTTGCCCGTATATCTACGCACTGATCAAAGCCGGGCACCGACGCCGTTGGTGACCTTTCTTCGGCCCTGAGCGGTTCACACAGAAAGGAACTGAGGGCAGCTAGTCGCCAGCTTGTTGGCATGGGGTGTTCTTTCTAGCAACATGTGCCGACAGCTTAGTGAAATCCAAACAGTTCAATCATAGTACCAAGCAGCTCATTGCCAACGCGTAGCTGTTCCAATTGCTGTGGTGTAGCCGCACCATTCTCTGGAAGTCGTCGTGTGATCGGAGCCTCGGTGGCCCACTTTCTGCCGCCCATTGCATGGTTGACCACGTGTCACATGGATGCCCACCTCCTGATAGGACCACACGCTTGGCATGACCATGCGGAACATCCCGTTACCTAGTGTAGTGTCGATGGCGATGTCGATAGACAGGGAGACTAATGGCGAAATGTGTGAGATAGTGTGGCCGCTCAGCACATGCGTGCATGTCGCCTGGTCTGCGCCTGCTTCAATATAGGTTGAGTACATAATGCTTTGTGCGTCGTATGGCCGAAGTTATCGGAGTTGCCGCCATACCAGTGCAACACTCAGTCTGCAACACGCGTGCTGGGGTGCCGGTCCTGCTGTGTGTGTGTTGGGTGGCGGGGGTATGCGTTATGTATGTCATCGTCGATTTGCGCTTGTGGGCTGAGCAGATCGATCGCATCCCTGCTGATGTAGGGGCTGGCTTGTAGCAGGGCTCGTCGTTCGCCATCCTGGGACATCGTAGCAAGGGTCTGCGTGGCGAGCTCTGTGAGTAGGCCTAGCGCCTTGGTCGTAGTTGCGACGACGCGCCTGCGTGGTATGCGCACCTTGCTCGTACCCTTCGCACGGTCCTGGTTGAGAGGGGCGAGTCTGAGGCGATGGGCTGGGCTGGCGATGGCCAGGATTGTGACAAGCAGGCGGCGCGGCGCGCCCAGTGACAAGTGGTCAGCCCGATGCTCTCTGATGGGAAATTCTGACAAACACGTAATGCACTGTCTGTTGGCGCCAGCATAGCCCGTAGCAAGCGTAGACAATTGGCGGTGCATGCCGCACGAGACATGTACCCGTAGTGAACGATGGCGTGGATGCAGCGCTCGCCCTTAAATGCACATTTACACATACAAACAAGCAATTGCTGACAAACCTGTAGATTGTGCCTCGTGAAAGAGACTGGCCCTCGACATGTGCTGCCAATGTGTTGCGAGGGGGCTTCTGAGCGGTTGCGTGCTCACCTGTCTTGATCAGGTGGTTCGCCGATTTGCTTCGCCGTCTGAGGGATTCCATGGAGCAAGATCGTCGTGTGGCAAGGGTAGATCGGCGTGTGCCATCATCGTAGTGCGTAGCCAAGCCAAGCCTTCTAGCAACATTACTGGCGCCGTCCTGCGTCGGGCTTCTTCGCCAGAGACCTCACACCACGCTGCTGCGAGCAGGATCGATCGACCGGATTCACACATGGCACATGGCCACGGGGGGAATCCTGTTGGGTGGCGCTACGTCCTTTTTCGGCATCCCGAGGGGCGCCACGACGCTTACCACTTCCGCTACCAGCAGAACCCCTCAAAGCCGAGAAGCGAAATCTGATCGTTCGCGCTAGCGTTGCGTCGCCTCTGTGTGCACTAACTTGCGTTCGTCTCGTGTCAGTCATGCCACACACTTGCATTGCAGAGCCGCCCCGACAACGCTAGACTGTCGTTCAATGTCAGCCCGCTTTGTGCATCGGGCCCGTCCTTTGCAAACACACGTCGTCTCAATTCTTCTTGTTGTGAGGAGGAAGAGGACAAGGAAGGAGGAGGAGGAGGAGGAGGAAGAGGAGGAGGAGGAGGAAGAGGAGGACGAGGAGGACGAGGAGGACGAGGAGGACGAGGAGGACGAGGAGGGGGAGAGGAGGAGGAGGGGGAGGAGGAGGAGGAGGTGGAGGAGGACGAGGAGGAGGAGGTGCAGGAGGACGAGGAGGAGGAGGAGGAGGAGGTGGTGAAAAACAACGAGAAGGAGGAGGAGGAGGAGGAGGTCGGGAGGGAGGAGGGCAGGGAGGGACGGCGGGAAGGAACGAGGGAGGAGGAGGAGGAGGAGGAGAAAGAGGAGGAGGAGGCGTCTCTACCCCCACCCTCGCGCCTTTTCCCCCCGCCCACCGCCCGCCGGGCGCGCGTCAGGCTCTGCACGCTGCCCCCTGTGGCTCCGGCGGCGCCGGCCCCGCCCTGGCCATGGCCGGGGACTCCTGGGGTGCGCTCAGGCGCCACCTCTCTGTCCTCAAAACCGTCCTGTCGGATACCCTTGGCGTCCTGTCTGGTGCGCCGCCCGTCGCGGGGTTGCGGGTCGGCCGCGGGTAACCGCGGTCGCGGCTTCGGCAGGGTACCCTTGTGTCCTGTGGTTTTGGAGGCAATGTTGCCGTCGGAAGAGTCTTGTGTCCTGTCGCGCGTCCTGTGCGCAATAACCCGCGTGTACCCAAACCATGGCAGGGTAAGTGTGCTCTGCCAGCGTACCCTTAACTCGGGCATGTTTTTTTCTACAGGAGGAATAACCAACAATACTGTTACAATAGTATGGGGACAATTCTGTAGGCTTGCACCGCATCCGCCGACCCCTTGAACCAGGTCGGTTCCGTTTTTTGGGGGGAGGGCCTAGTTCTTTCACAGCTGGGGATCTTCACGTGTCCTGGATTTTCGGGTTTCCGAATGATGGGGACGGAAAGGGGCAAATGCAGGAGGAGGTTGGAGGAAGAGGAAGAGCAGGAGGAAGATATTGGACAGCCCAAGAAGGCCCCTGACGCCCACAAGAGGACCCAAGAGGCCCCCAATAAACCCGAAACCGTTACCTTGACCTGTGTTGTGGCTCTCACGCTTGCGGACTAGCCTTCGAGGGAGTTTGAGCACATATGAGTGCCCTTCCAATGGTTTCGTTTCTCCCGCGCACGGGCTGTCAGGAACTGGGACAAGAAATTGTTCGGCCGCCAAGAATGTATGGTTTGAAATTCGGTTTGTTGTTCGCATGCGTTGCTCTTGGGCCAAGAGTAACGTCAAGGCATGGGGAACCTAGTCAAGCGACGTGAGTCTTCTGGTCTGTGTTGCTCCACTTGAAGAGGCCACATACATGCGATGAACATTCAGACCCTGCGGCTGCCGCGGAGCTATCGCGAACGCTGTTTTGAAAGCTGTAGAGCCCGAAGCTGCTCAAGTGTTGGAGAGCTCGCGCCGGGTTCGAAGTATCTTGATCGCACCAGAACGCCCTCAAGCGAAACGCGGCTTTGCCGCACTTCGAAGACGGTGCCGCCAAGGGATGCATCGCGGGCCCGTTCGCGGTCAGATCTTGGCTCGCTATCCGGCGAGATGCTGTTTTGGCGCAGTCGAGCTCCCCATCGTCAGAGGAGGTTGTGGCTCACTCTTATACGAAACGCTGCTGTGGCGCGCTCTTAGCGGCAGTCGCCAGGAGGTATATCACAGGTTTGCGACGCCCCAGGGCTGTCTTTCAACAGGAGCAGATTGCGGTTCAGTCGCAGGCGAAACATTGCTCTCGCGTGCTTCTCGGGGGTTAATGACGGGCCCGGTTGCGGCCAGGCTGTGGCTCATTCTCAGGCGAAACGCTGTGTTGGCGCACTTCTAGGGGCAGCCGCCGCGGGGTATATCATTGGCCCGTTCGCGGCCAGATCGTTTTTCACTCTCCAGCGAAAAGCTGTCCCAGTGCCCCCGAGTTCTTTCTTGTCGAAGCAGGCTCGATTGTAGCTCACTCTCAAGCGACACACTGTTTCGGCGCACTCCAGAGGAGGGGAGCGCGCCGTCGCGCGCGCATGCCGAATTCTTCCAAAAACCGGCGGGTTCGTAGCGATTTCATAACCGAATGTCCAAGTTCAAACACGCAAGGTTTCGCAACATCTTTTTTCAAAAAATTAGCCTGGCGAAGGACCCAAACATACGCAATTGTGGATACAGTCATTGTGAATACCATCCTCGCCCGCGCTCCTTATGTGGCCACGGCTTCCCGCCGGAGCCCGACATGCTCTGGGGCACGTTTGTGGCCGTCTTCGCGGGCGCCGACGACCACGAGGACGGCGTCCCCCTGACCGAAGAGCAGAAGCAGGAAAGGGTTCTGAGAGCCATGAGGGAGACTGCCATTGGTACCTTCGGTGGAGCACCCTATGGGGCCACGATCCTCATGAGGGGTGTGCCGACATGGCCCGAGGCCGACATGCGAACCCTGCCACCGGGGGCATTCGGTGGAGCTCCCTATGGGGCCACGATCCTCGTGGGGGGTGTGCCGAAATGGCCCGAGGCCGCCATGCGAAACCTGCTACTGGGGCCTTCGATGGACCTCCCGATGGGGCCACGATCCTCGTGAGGGGTGTGCCGAAAGGGCCCGGTGCCGCCATGCGAACGCAGCCACTGGAGCCTTCGGTGGAGCTCCCTATGGGGCCACGATGCTCGTGAGGGGTGTGCCGAATTGGCCCGGGGCCGCCACGCGAACGCTGCCATTGGGGCCTTCGGCGGAGCTCCTTATGGGGCCACGATCCTTGTGAGGGGTGTGACGAAAATGCCCGGGGCCGCCATGCGAACGCTGCCAATGAGGCCTTCGGTGGCGCTCCCTATGGGGCCACGATCCTCGCGAGGGGTGCGCCAAAGTTGGGCGGGGCCCACATGCGAACGCAGCCACTGGGGCCTTCCTTGGAGCTCCCTATGGGGCCACGATCTTCGTGAGGGGTGCACCGAAATGGGGCGGGGCCGCCATGCGAACGCTGCCACTGGGGCCTTCGGTGGAGTTCCTTATGGGGCCACGATCCTTGTCAAGGGGTGCGCCAGAATGGGGCGGGGCCCACATGCGAACGCAGCCACTGGGGCCTTCGGTGGAGCTCCCTATGGGGCCACGATCTTCGTGAGGGATGCGCCGAAATGGGGCGGGGCCGCCATGCGAACGCTGCCACTGGGGCCTTCGGTGGAGCTCCCTACGGGGCCACGATCCTTGCGAGGGGTGCGCCAAAATGGGGCGGGGCCCACATGCGAACGCAGCCATTGGGGCCTTCGGTGGAGCACCCTATGGGGCCACGATCCTCGTGAGGGGTGCGCCGAAATGGGGCGGGGCCGCCATGCGAACGCTGCCACTGGGGCCTTCGGTGGAGCTCCCTATGGGGCCACGATCCTCGCAAGGGGTGCACCAGAATGGGGCGGGGCCACCGTGCGAACGCAGCCACTGGAGCCTTCGGTGGCGCTCCCTATGGGGCCACGATCCTCGCGAGGGGTGCGCCAAAATTGGGCGGGGCCCACGTGCGAACGCAGCCACTGGAGCCTTCGGTGGAGCTCCCTATGGGGCCACGATCTTCGTGAGGGGTGTGCCGAATTGGCCCGGGGCCGCCACGCGAACGCTGCCATTGGGGCCTTCGGCGGAGCTCCCTATGGGGCCACGATCCTCGTGAGGGGTGCGCCGACATGGGGCGGGGCCGCCATGCGAACGCTGCCACTGGAACCCTCGGTGGAGCTCCGTATGGGGCCACGATCCTCGCGAGGGGTGCGCCGAAATGGGGCGGGGCCGCCATGCGAACGCTGCCATTGGAGCCTTCACTGGAGCTCCCTATGGGGCCACGAAACGATGTACCGGGCGGGCGAAACGCAGGGAGGAGAAGAGGAGGAGGGTGAGGAGGAGAGGAGAGGAGGAGGAGGAGGAGGAGGAGGAGAAACGCGGGGCGACGTCTCTTCAAAACGAGGGCCCAACACCACAGGATGGTTGGGGGGGAAAAATAAAGCGCGCACCCGCTCTTGCGAATTCTTAGGGGGAATAACATAGGCGATTCCAATATTTTCATTGATATCTGCCAAACAGGCCTCTGGCGCCGCATGCCGACATCATTCGCGCGCCCTTGCGCGCGTGCTGGGTGGGCGCGATCTGCGCCGTAAAATAATGCGCGGGCAGCTCTCGCGCGTTGGCCCCGCGCGCATGTCGAACTCTTCCCAACAATTTCATCGTCGACGCGAGGGCGCCGTCGTCGTCGTCGGCGCAGTCGGCATCGGCGCGCGCGCGCCGGCCGTGCCGTTGCCGGCGCGAACGTCGCTGCCAGCATTGCCAAGACAGCCGCCTAGGGCGTTCACTGCCCACTAAGGACCCCGCGGGGTCGCGCGCCCCCTTCCCCGCCCTAGCCCCCCGCGCTCTGCGCTCGTGCCTTGTCGGGCCCGCAGATTTGGCTCCATTTCCAATGCGGGAGATTTCACATCATCCCTCGGGCCGTCATCCTCGCCCCTCCCCTCCTTATCCTCTTCCTTCCATAGCGAACGCGGGCCGCCCCCTGGTGCCGGCGCGCTTTGGCGCGGCCGCCGCGCGGTCGCATTTGCCGCGCCCATCCTTGAGGCCTTCTGAACAGCACTAGTATTAGTTAAGGCGTTGTAGCAATGACCGCTTGTGCGCTGGTGTTCAGCACCCAACAAGGCAGAGCAAACGCTACCGCCGCATGCGAGCGGGGAGACGACGACGACAGAACGCGCGCGCCAGCATGACGCAACAAATGGGGCAATCCACTTCGGACGCAGCACTGGCCCCGCGATCGTGAGATCATCTAGACGAGAAGGGGCGGCGGAGGGACGCGAGGAAGAGGGGATAACGCTACGATACCACGCGTGAGAAGACAATACAATACACGGCCGTCAGCACGCCGCGGGGCGCGGGGGGGGCGGGGGGGGGGGGCGATGTCGAACGATAGAAATATGATGCACCCTGACGGGGCGCGCATTAGAACTCAGACAGGGTAGCTTATAGAGCAAGTCGAGACTCACACATCATAACACAAAGCGACAAGACGCAACTTAGCACACAGACAGCATGACACAACGCGACAATACACAACTCAGGACTCAGACTTAGAAGCTCGCGTCACACTACACCTTGACGATGTCGGCTCAAGGATGCCTGGTTTGCCTCGCTTGAGTGCGAGCTAGAATTGCAGTTCAATGTTGGGCCCCGACATTAATTTTGGGGATGCGCATGATGCTGTCGTCGTTGCTCCTCCACCGCGCAGACGGGGGCAGAGACGCTCCCTGAGCAACGGACGCGCGACAACGTTTCTCATCGTTGCAACTGGGAGTCTTTGGCCGACGATAATATCGAATGCGCTACAATGACAGACTGGCGACTCCCACGTGGCAGGTGGTGCCGTGCTATTGGGCGCGGCATTCGGCCGCTGGCGCCTTGTTCCGACGGCAGAGTTGGATGCGCCAGAGACTGCGCAATGGGCAGCAAAGGTCGCTCAGTGAATGTTGC